TTCTGCAGGTGTGGATTTTATGAATGGTGGCACACACAGAGAATGAACCTGTAACAAAGGTTGTACAAGAACAGGTCTACCGTGGCTTGAAAATGTGTGATGTACTGGAGTAGAAGCAAATGAAGCATTTTTAGAGAAAATGAAATGACCAATAATGTTTAACAGTAACACTGGACAGTAACTCCTGAAATGCAGTGAAATTCACAGATCAATAAAGTAGCCGTGTGTCAGGATATTGCAATTCCTTCACTACAATTAGTGAAAGATTTTGTCTTTTCACATGCTGTTATTGAAAGGCAGCAGCCCTCTGCCAAATGTCATTGGACTGCGGCCCTGTTGGTCATGGCTTGACAGACTGGCCACAGACTTTAAGAAAGGCACAAAGGCAATTTCAGCTCTACACCCTCTCACCCCTCACTCAGTTGGAGGCAGGGCATGCGGGATATTGGGACAGACGGAGGAAAGGGAAGGGGGGGCGGTGTTTGGGGCCCAGTCACAGACACACTGAGCTGCCTTGAGCTGTTGAGACAGTCTGCCAGCCCTATTGTTCAGCAGCATTCCCCTTTCTTTATCCATCACCCACTTTGTCCTCTGCACTCTGTGCTTTATGCAACAGATTGTGACTGGAGGTCCTGATATTTACATGTACTTGCAGCCACTTAAAATATCCAATATTAGTTATAACAGCTTAAATAAAGTTTATATAATACAGGCTAATGTTCAACAGTGAAGGTCATCAAAATATAAAGTAGACTCGGGTAAGTCTGACAGTATTGTTGGAGTTAGAAGCTTGGCAAAGTGTGGCAGAAAGTTCATGTCAAAAGCTTTTAGCCCACAAAGAGAGAGTGCGTGTGTGTGTGTGTGTGTGTGTGTGTGTGTTCAGCATTGCTTGGACCATCACCAGCCTGAGCACACACACACAGTGCATGTGTTTGTCTCTGAGCATGCCTCTGAGTTTGCTTTGCCTGCCCTCCACCCCAGCTCAGTGAAGCTCAATCTGCTCTGTCTCTGTTTTATGAGTCAGGCAAACATACACACACTACTCCTTCACATTATCTCATAACATTTCTCAATCTCATGCCATCATCCTCCTGATTTTCCACTTGAACCCCGCCTTTACACAAATGACTTTTAAATATGTGAATCCGTTTGCATGTATGTGTGCACGCGCACAGATTGCACTGCCTACCATTCACACAAGCAAACATGCTGGTTGAATGTAAAGGTCAAGTTCAGCCTTGACTTGTGTTTGTGGTACACAATGATGTCAGCACAATTTCCTTTGTGGCTAAAATCAATACCAGTTTGTCCTTTTCATTTTTGGACATCAGCTTCAGTTTTACTGTCTGTTGACAGTGAAATGTCAGTGTTCTGACATTTATTCTCAATAAAATAAATTAAATCGAATCAAGAGGGCCTGTAGATGAACAGACACTAGCACATTTTAAACAGCTTCACATGTAGTTTCCACAGATAGAAATACAAAATAAATAAATGCAGGACAGAAAAGTTTGAACATATCATTCAGTTTTTTTGAGGGATACTGTTTGTTTCTGGCTTATCAATTTGTTAGGTAGTTGAGGAATGGAAAAACAAGTATTTTGGTAATTGTTGTGTTGTGAATTTGTTATTCACTTTTAAAGCAAACATGCTACCCATTCCCAAATTATAGACCTGTTACCTGTTTTATTTGTTAATAAATGAAATATCTTTGGGTTTTGGGACTTTTGTTTAGTCCAAACAACCACATTACATTGGGCTTTAGGACATTTTTTTTTTTTTTTTTTTTTTTTTATACAGTTTTGTGAAGTTAGTGCTAAAGTGGTTATTAATGGAGATGGGCCCAGTCCAATCCAATATTTGTATTGACATCATTCGCTCATAGGATATTGGATCCACTTACCAATCCATATTCCAGTCCACAGCTTACATCTTACCATAAACCCGTGGCCGCGTGAGTGAATAAATTTAGCTTTCAGTTTGTCTAAAATGTCATTTGTTTGGAGATATTTTATTCTGGAAATTGCCGAAAAGCAAGACAGATACTTGTAATGTGTGTAAAGCCAGCGTGCCGAGGGGTGAAAAGATGGTTGTATAGTATTATACAAGCACCTGCAGAGGTTTCATCGTGAAAGTGTACTAGTCAACAAACAAGAAGGCACCACCAGGCAGCAGACTCTCACTGACACCGTGATAAACTTCCAGCAGACAGCCCAAGGGCTAAAGGGATTACAGAGAGGCTGCTCAATTCATTATACTCGACCAACTACTATCTGTTGTGGAAAATGTCAGATTTAGCAGCCTTTTGGAACTCTTAGAGCCCAGGTGTAATCTGCCATCCAGAAAATATATTTCAGAGACTGCTATACCCAAACTATACAACTGAGTGTCATCACAGTTGGCGGCAGAGTTAGATGTTAGTCATGAGCTTCACAACTGTTATGGACCTCAGATGTGAGCAGCATTGAAGGCGATCCCTTGAACTTGAATTATATTGTGATAATTATTGTTATCAACTGTTCTGAAAAAATTTTTGTGCAAACTATCTTGCCATATCGCTCAGCCATAGTTTTTATCACTGTATGCTGAAATTTAAAGTAATACAGTACCATCTGATATTATATAAATATATTTTTAATATGAAATTTCAGTCTGAAAACTAACTACTAACTACAGTTTCCAATCAGTGTAGTGGAGTAAGAATTTGTTTCCCTTTGAAGTGTGTTGGCGTAGAGGCGTAAAGAAATACTCAAGTAAAAATATGTATAAGAAATGCATGAATGAAACGCAGGGCTGCATGTGTTTTGGTAAGAAACACTGAATATAAACAAAGCTTTTGTTTGTTCACAAGTGAACTTTAAGCCCAAGGACAAATTGCAACTCTTATATTTCACACATTATGCATGAAATCGGTTCAAAATTAACATGCGTCAAGGTTTCTGTTCCAGAATTCAACATGTTTAAATGTGAAACTCATTTGGGATGTTGGAGATTTTAGTCTTAAATCTCCACACCCTAGATAATACTGTTCATATTGATTTTCCTGTATTTCACTTAGCTGTGCAGAATTCAAATGAATATCAACCTCTTCTCATGTTTCCTCCATTGTTTTTCCAAACACCATAAGTTTTGGGTGCTTTACCCTGTCTTGGAGAATTTGAGCTAAATTGGTTTGTGAACCATTGCTTTTGTGCACCTGAAAATGCCACTGTGACGTTGTACTGCATTATATACATATATTAGTTTCTGTTTGAGTGTGGCCCCTTTGTTGTGTTGTATTGAACTTATTATTCTTACTCCTGCCATACTTTATCTGTAACCCTTTTCCTTAAAAACATTGAGTAGGAGGGGAGAAAGACATAAAGTAGGACACCACATAGCTGCTAATGCCACTGCAATTTTGTGCTTGTCTGCCTTAGTCCACACAGAGTCCAGGCCCACCAAACACCCACTCGGCAGCAGGGACATAACACATACCACTGACATCAGGTCAGCCTCGTCTGGCCATTCAACTAATCTAGTCAATAAAATTCCTTTCTTACCTGTAGAGCCACCCTAACCCTGCATGAAGTACTACCTCCTTTGTAGAGACTGTCAGAGATGAATTGTGCTAACTTGTTGGTTATTTTTTTCAAGAGAGAGTTTCTGCTGTTATTAATTAAATATTCCTCCAGTCAGTGTTGTCTACATGTGGTCACTGTTTCTTTTTGCAGATGCACTTTTAATGTGCCTCATGGCATCTTGACTTTTGAACAGTTTCCCATGCTTCACTTTTTCAGCTGTCTTCATAACTATAAATATAATACTTTCAAAGCTACTAACTATTGTTGTCTTTCCTTCTTTTTGTCCAGCCCTTGTAAAGAAGATTGCAAAGTGTGCCAGGAAGTTACATGCCACTTAGTTTAAATGGAGGTCTACCTACATTTTCAAGTGGCTGTTGAGCCAACTTGAAGGGTTACAAAAGGCTTGAATTGCTGCTGCATCACTCATAGAGTGTGCAGAATTATGCAATTTTATAAAGGGAAACAGCTGCAATAAATTTTGACGTCAAATGCAGGAAAACTGCAGTAGAAAAAGGGAACACTAGTAACAAGTGGTGTGAACAGACAGTTAAAAAAGCATTAGCTTTAGCATCAAGCTACATAACTTTAAAAATGTTGGTAGTGTTGGGGGTTTAATGCATAATAACCCAAAGTGTTCCTGTTTATTCATTTACTGGGTGTAAGTGTCCAAATTGTACTTGTTGGAGGAGTGAAATCACTCAGTATTGTTGAATGCTCTCTCAGCACTTGTGTGAAAAGCTTCATAATGGTTTGAGCATTGTTGTCCACCTTGATGTAAAAGCCTGAAGTCTGCCAGTTCTTTGATCAGATAATGGAGTTGGTGTTGCCTGTATTGTCATGAGGCATCCCCAGTTTGTGTTATTGTTTTAGCCATAATATTATTCTGTTACACACTGACCTGCATGATTTTGTGGTGGCTCACTCACAAAATGGCCTGGTAGCGAGGAAAAACTTTAATGGAGACAGTAAAATACACCATATGACTTAACAAAACAGACTGTACAATGAACACAGTTTGTTTTGATTGTGACATGTATGGAGAACCTGCTGTTATATGTGTTATTGATTGACCATAGCTGCATTTCATAGTTTGTGACACCTCTGCTATTAATTCTTTGATGGTGAGTCCTGGATCAGTAAGGTGTAAAGTGCCAATAGTTGGCTGCTTCTTTTATAGACTTTGGCAAAATGATTCTACTGAGCCTTCCCTAGTTTGAGAGTACTCGGCTTTGTTGTTAATTGAGTGACTGAGAGTTGTCCTTGTAGAGGGGTGTAGCTTAAGCCTTTGACCCTTACTCTGTATTTGTATGTGAGAGTAAGTGGATGAAACGGAGAGAGAGAAGGGACATAGGCAGTCATTGTCTTTTGCATAAGATGAGTGTTTGTCCTTTTTTTTCCAATGGGTTTTTCAGCTCCTTCCTCTCTTCTTATCTCCAGGTCTCTAGATGGCCGGCTGCAGGTGTCCCACAGGAAAGGTCTGCCCCACGTCATCTACTGCCGTCTGTGGCGCTGGCCCGACCTACAGTCCCACCATGAACTGCGGGCGGTGGAGTTGTGCGAGTATGCCTTCCACACGAAGAAGGACGAAGTGTGTGTCAACCCGTATCACTACCAAAGAGTAGAGACACCAGGTATGACAGCTTGGAGAGTGATGTTCTCTTATACAGACAGGAGACACACTTTGTCTTTTTCCCAAGGCACATTTTAATAGACTTTTTTTTAATCTACACACCTTATCCAATATTTTTCCTGTTGTTTATTGCATAATTTTACTGTTTTGTTATGTTATCTTGCATTTATTTATTTTATGCAGACATGAAACCAGTCATTGCTGCACTTTGAGGAACTTTGTGTGAGAGAGTGTATGCCTGTCTTTTTCCCCATTATGCAGTACTCCCACCAGTGCTGGTGCCCAGACACACAGAAATTCCCAGTGAGTTCCCACCGCTGGACGATTACAGCCATTCAATCCCTGAAAACACCAACTTCCCTGCTGGCATTGAGCCCCAGATCAACTACATACCAGGTACCACTACTTCTTAACATACAGTATCTTACATTAAGTCTCAAGACTCTTTTATTTCAAGCCTGAATATCCACAGTGTTCCTGTGTCAAACTGTGAACATTATATATGGACATGGCTAAGGGAGTGTGTCATATTGTTGTCCTGATTAATCACTTTATCACTCAAAGGTTTGATGCTGTGGACAAGTAGCTGTGCAGATGGTTGAGATCCTCAGTCTGTTTTGTTGTTGAGTACTAACAAATGTCGGTTTCTGTATCTGTAAATTAAAAAAGAAATTGAACTGAGATTCTGAGTGATGTTTGCAGTTGAAACATGGCTTCAACATAGTCCTCTCAAACCGGATTAGATTGGATACTAATAAGTTTTTTTAAATTAAATGTGACCACATGTTCAAGGAGAATAATATTTGTGTCAGAGTAGTGTAAAAAAGATCAAGTTAATGAGAGAAAAATAGACACAGAAAACAAATAAGTGGGTAAATGAGAAAAACAGAACTGCTTTTTTTTGTATTTGAGATCAGTTTTATGTAATACAAGACTAGATTGGCAGTGTGCTTTCTTTTTCTACTTGTCTTTCTGTGTTGTTTCCAGCCAGTGGGCCACTATATGTGTCTAAAGGAATGTTGCCATAAATGTCATGAGTTGTTGTCTGTCTGTTTTGGTCTGTCAGAAACGCCACCACCAGGCTACCTCAGTGAGGATGGAGAGACCAGTGATCATCAGATGACCCACAGCATGGACACAAGCTCCCCTAACCTGTCTCCCAACCCTGTCTCACCCACGCACAGCAACTTGGGTAAGGACTGTGTGTGCATAAGTGTGCATTTGTGCACTTTTGTGTCTCTCTGCCTTTACTTCCAGACAAATGTTTCAGTAGTGTATCTCCCTAGTGGGAATTGTCTGTTTAACTTAACTCCATTTTTGTAAGAGGAAACCAGGTGATGAAAGAAGCCTTTGTCTTCCCATGTGAGCCACTGAGCAGCTCAAGATGCCATTCACTCACACTACCATCAACGACAGTAGCCTGTGTTTATTCTATATGGACGGAAAAACACCAGGAAGCCTGGCTGGAAAGCTACTGGTTAAATAACAAATTACACCAGTCTCATTTGGCAGTGTCATCTAGCTCCGCTCTAGACTTTAAAGCCAAGAACAAAATCTTGAAGTTGTTAGAGAGTGGCCATGTTGAGTGGAGAAAGGAGCACATTACCAGAGCCAGCTGAAGTTACTGACAACTATCATGGATAAGCCTGTAATTTTACCAGTGAGGGTTGATTTTCCAGTTTGTCTGGTAAAAGCTTCTGGGAAATAGCATATGGGTTTCACATTTTGTGACGCAAGCTCAGGCTGATATTTTCTTAAGTGCTGTTTTTCTTCCCGCTCTTGCTCCACCTCAGCCCCTTTTCCCCTGACATTTCACCCATTTTGCCTCTTCCTTCTTATCTGTGCTACTCGTTTGTTTTTTCTCCCATTTATTCTGTTTTATGGAAATTATTTCTCTAATTTGCACTCGTCTTTTCTGCTAACCTTGACTCCTGTCTGCTGTTGCCATAAAACATTTTTTTTTTCCTGTATTATTTCAAGCACAGAATTTTTTGTTGACCTGTACATTTCAGCCTACTAGCTACTGAATTGTATCTACTTTCCATTTTGGTTTGATGAATGCAAACTATATATTTCTCTGCATCTCTCTGTATTAGACCTTCAGCCAGTGACGTACTGTGAGCCAGCTTTCTGGTGCTCAATTTCATACTATGAGCTGAACCAGCGAGTAGGAGAGACTTTCCATGCCTCACAGCCCTCGCTTACAGTAGATGGATTCACCGACCCCTCCAACTCGGAGCGTTTTTGCCTGGGCTTGTTGTCCAACGTCAACCGCAATGCAGCTGTGGAGTTAACACGCAGACACATTGGTAGGGCTCATGACTAACTCTACTAAGATAATAGTCATTTTTAATGAGGAAGTAACCACTCTTTTTCACTCTCTTGCAAGTTTGCTAACTAATTTAGAGTCATGCTAGAAGAGTCTTTGTCTTCGACACACAACTTCTATCAGAGGGGTTTGTTGACCCTTCCCTGTTTTCTTCTAGGCCGTGGTGTGCGACTGTATTACATCGGAGGAGAAGTGTTTGCTGAATGTCTCAGTGACAGCGCCATCTTTGTCCAGAGCCCCAACTGTAATCAGCGCTACGGATGGCACCCTGCCACAGTTTGCAAGATCCCTCCAGGTGTGTGTCAAGCTGACAGAGACAGAGAATGTTCTGAATAGACACATACAAATGGGGAGAGAGGACAGATGTTGGGGAGAGGTGAGGAGTGAGGGAGAAAGGAGAAGAAGAAGGCAAAACTGGAAAGGGAGAGTAGCAGTGGTTCTATCCACAAATCACAAGGTTTGCTTCTTGATGCCGAGCTCTTTTTGTTTACGTCAGAGTGTCCTATAGCAAGATGCTCAAGCTAAACTTTCTCCTGATGGTCAGAAGAGTGCCTGTGTGGTCACTCACCCCATCACTGGGTGTGTGTATGAACGGGCGAATAAGAGGCTAATTTTAACAGCACTTTAAATACAGGTGTTACATAAATGCAGTGTAGTGTCCAAAAATGCAGAAGCCAACAAATGCAGAAGCAACTGGTTTGCAGATGTTTGCAGGTACATTTTCCCATGTACCAAAAAAATCACAGAATGAATTTGACCCGGTTGAGTGTAGTCTTTTGAGAAGAATTGTCATAGTGGATGTCATGTCTGATGGAGATGTGTGCCTGTCTGTCTTTTTGCTGCCACATTTCTCCCGTTTTAATACTTTGAGTCTCTGGCAAAACCGACAACACTAAAGGACTGGCCAAGTTGTGATTAAGCTAATTTTAAATGAATGATTCAAAACAGATTTTACTCTACGGTGCATTCACACATACTGTATGGATACAAAGTAGATAACTACATCAGGCCTTCAGTAAATCTGTAGTTCTGGGGTTGTGTTGTGTTGAGTACATAATTTAGATTACGCAACTTTTTCTCCATTTTGTTTAAAATTCCTTCACATAGTGGAGTGGAGTAGTGAAGAGCTCTGTGCTCTTGTGTTAGAATTGAGAGGATTGCTCAGCCTTAAATCTGCAAATACTTTGGCTTCTTTTTTTAACCATTTTGACTTAAAAAAAATTGATGATCAAAATAGTTTTCTATTTTTCTTTCAATCAAATAATAGATTAATTAATCATTAGTAATGAATTCCTCATTTCAGCTCTAAAACCAAGATGTTTGTGACCAGTTGTTGTGGTTGCTCCCCTCAGGATGTAACTTGAAGATCTTCAACAACCAGGAGTTTGCTGCCCTGCTGGCCCAGTCAGTCAACCAGGGGTTTGAGGCTGTGTACCAGCTCACCAGGATGTGCACCATCCGCATGAGCTTCGTCAAGGGCTGGGGCGCTGAGTACAGGTAGGCTGGGGTCAATGACACACTTATTTCCTAAAGTGTAAGCCTTAACTGCCACAGAGCTTAACAGATGATAAAACTCACAACCGACTTGTCAGCAACATTATCAGCACTGTTGTGCAAAGATCAGGTCCTTGGCAAGCCTGTGTGTAAATGCAAACTGAAACAAACAGACTGAATCACATCCCACAGTGCAGCTATTCCCGCTCCCGGACATCAGTTCACACTCGAGTGAATCCGGGGATGACGTTGAGTCCTCGTCAATAGAAACAGGTCCCAGTTGGCACACCAGACTGTTTTAAATAAACACACATGTGCTGTGTCAAAAAGACATGCCAGACTTTCCCTCCCTGTTTCCACACAGTCTGACTCATCGATAGTAGGAAAGGAGGAGACTGAATAAAAGGGGAGCAGACGATTGGCTGAAAATTAGTTCTGACTAGGAGGTTTCTATGAGGGAGAAATCTCTGAGCTGTGAGCAACTGCTTATCAGTCCTGCCCTGACAAAATGCTGACAAGTAGAGACACTTAACAGCAGGAGTCAGGTTACTGGATCAGCCAGGTCCCCCTTCCACTCTACCTCTAGCCACACATCGCATCATTATCTATCTCTGTCTATCTATCTAGATATCATTGTTGTATCCACTTTATTTAAACACAAGTTTATTTCCAGTACAAACCACATAAACCAGAGGGATTTCCTGCAGCTGGTGAGTGTCTCTGCTAATATGCCTTGGCAATGCATAATTAGTTGTATGACAACACAGAGGATCAAGTTTACTTGCTGTTGTTGGCATTGACTGAGATTATGGTATTGTTTTATTTACTTAGCCCATTCAAGCTTCCTCTAAACGTAGGGTTTGGTTCATAATTTTTAATCAAAGAAGTGTTGAGTTTTACACACACACACAAAAAAAGCCTTTTTTTTATGTGTAGTCGACACAACTCAATTGTGTCAAGCCTGATTTGTCTGGAAAGAAAACACAACAAAAAGAATTCGGTAGCAGAGCTAAATAAATGATTTTTGAAGCCAACAGAGAAACTTCAGCATCACTTTATACATCCTGAGGTTTCTCTGGTGTTTAGAGAACAAAGGTAACAAATGTTGATGATATAACACTTGTTATATTCAGTTGCAGTGCAATTTCCATAAAATGCCAGTTTCACTTTAGCATCATTGCTCAGGCTAGCAGATTTTGATCAATACGTCATTACATTCAGCTCAACTCATCACTATGTAGATGAGCCATTGATTGGATTGACCCATATAAAACCAAATTATTGTAGACAAATCAGATCTTAGGGTGAAAAAATTACAACACAAATAGACAAGGGAAGCTTGTTTCCAAGTCATGTCACACTCTTGAGTTATTTGAGTATGGTCTCAGATTCTCTCACCTGGCATTAAATGGTTAAAAGTGTTCAGGTGTAACTCACAGAAACCTGTTGTTTGGATTTCTGAGCTGTGTGTCTGGTGTACACAGGGGCTAAAATGGAAGTAGAAAAGTCTGACTTTGCTGAAACTCGACTTTTTAAGTTTACTCACACAAGTCCTGTCCTCTAAACAGCTTTCTCTGTGAACTTAACAGCTGTGTGCTTTCTCCTTGCACTCTCCCAGGCGACAGACGGTGACCAGCACCCCCTGCTGGATTGAGCTGCACCTGAATGGCCCCCTGCAGTGGCTCGACAAGGTGCTTACACAAATGGGCTCCCCCAGCATCCGCTGCTCCAGCGTCTCTTAGGGAAGCACCACATCTCCTGTCAGTGACTAAAACACACAGACTGCATACAGACAAGAATCATGACTACACAAGTACAGAAAGCAGACAAGCCCCTCTCATTCAGCCAGTCTCCAGTCTCTAACTTAGTCCTTCCTCCCCACCAGCTGTCAGTAGCACTTTTATGTACATGTTGTTTGTGGCAAAAGGGGACAAGTGCATTAAAGCAGCACCATGTTAGTGTGAGCTCCACATTTTGTCCAGAATTATTTTATGGCAGTTTTTTCTTTAGTACCTATGTAGCTGTAGCAATGGGAGGAATTTTCTTTTTTTATTTCTGTTTCCTCGTTTGTTGAAATTTCATCTTTTATGATATATATTTTGTACAGTTAATTCGAACCATGGATTTAAGAAATTGCGTTAATGTTTTTACGCATTAATAACAGTTTTGTAATGCATTTGTAACATCATGTTAAATGCATTTCATTTGACTTTGTTTTTGTATCTGGGCATTTGATTGGTTATGAAGAGAATGGAATACCATCATTTGTACACACTGTATGAAGGAATATACTGTAAGCCTAGTACAAATACTTTTAGGTTTTCATACTCAAACACTTATTTTATGCAGCCTATGTTATTCAGGCAATATAAATAACATGATGTTTAACTGCACATTTGACTTTCAGGCAGAAACAAACTAAAACAAGGAGTTAACTTCTCCACCCTATGCTAGCTGTAAACTGGACCGTGATTGGTACCGTGGACCTGATGGCTTTGACAAAGGAGTCTGATGCTTCGGGATGCATTAGAGCAGGCAGGGGTCACGACTTTTTAAACTCATATGTGTGAGCACTTAAAGACAGTGGCATGCATCAAATGTCATCTGGATGATGGTGCACTTTTGTAAAATGTTAATATTGTAGTATCAACAAAATACATTTAGCGACAGTTGTAGTTCACAGCTACTGTAGTACTTTTCACAGGGTTATTTAAAATAGCCCATGTGAATTTCATACGGTGGCCCGGAGAGCTCAGTGCACTGCAGCTTGGGAAAACATGCAAATAAACAAAACACTAGCAAATTAAAGAAAACACTTTCACTGATTTGACAACAGATGTGCAGCATTTAGAAAACATGAAGCAAATACAGTAAACACAACCAAATACAAAAACAAGCTTGATCCTTATGGTGAAACTGGCTGAGAAGCCTCGCCACCTAAATGAGGCTTCATCTCACCAGCGCTGCTAACAGAGAGTCGACATGAGTAGCTTCATTAGTCACAAATGACAAGCGTAACCCTGCCGTGCCTGTCATTCTTTAGCACACCCTATTTCCATTGTAATCTGTACCCTTTGCAGTGTTTGTGCATTTGGTTGTTTTCTGTATTTGTAGTGTGTTTTCTAAATGCTGTGCATCTGTTGTCAAATCAGTGAAGGTTTTCTTTATTTGCTAGTGTTTTCATTATTTATGTGTTTCTCAGGTTGCAGTGCATTGAGCTCTCAGGGCCACTGTAATTTCAGGATAATGTGCAAATTTACAAAATACTTTTGCAGCTTTGTATAGTTTAGTAGGTAGCATATAACAAGCATTTACAAAGAACTTGAAAACGTCTCACATATCATTGTGCAAACTTTTTGTTAAATTGCAAGTTGAACACAAGATTTTGGAATATTCATGATACAAGTTCTCTGCAGGAGGCTTTCAAGTATAAAGAGAGCTGGAAGATGCGTTTGCTTTTTAATTTTCTCTCTCAGCAGTTCATAACATTGGTCTTATTTTTAGCCATCAGTAACAGTGACATTTTACACACTCAGGGCCGTGATAAAACACCAGAATTATATACAGAAACCAGTGTAAAGGGCAAGTGCATGGCTCTGGACACTTTAACATCTATTTTACTACCAGTTATTTTTTATGTAGGATGATGCAGTCACAGCACATTGACTTTGTCTGTTCCAAGTGTTTTCGCATGACATACCAGAATATACTGCTGGCAGGTGTGGGGATACTGCTTGTATTTTTATACCTGTGATATGAGGCAGTTTCAGTTCAAAGCATAGCTTTTTACAAAGAGAAATGTTTAGATAGATTGAGGAATGTAAATAACAGTAGCTCCTCAAACGTCCCTTTTTTACGTCTATGTACATGTAGTACATAGGTGTGTCATTGTATGACCGTTAGCTTTTGTAATGTTGGTAGTTTTCAAAGAAAGACAACAAAGAAGCCAACAAATAATAAAAAGATTTAAGTTAAAGTTGTTGCTGAAATAGAGAAGCATCATCCTAGCTTTGGTTCTTTTGCTTTTCCTCCTCCCACTGTGGTGGAAGTGGATCAGCTTCCTTCTGGATCCATAACACTAGACAAAGACACAGCAGGTGCAGATACATAATATTTTGAATCATTTTACAGTTCTTATTTACATTAACCTAGCTTCTGATGTTAATGCCAGCCCAGTGGTGCTAATCTTTAACATTTTAGGGACTCAAGAGTAAAGCAAAGCCATACAATTTTACTCCTAGTGCTGGTAGATTTTTATCTCTGTTCAATGATGATGGCTTTTGAACCTTCAAATTATGCAGGGTTGTTTCAGAGGCAGTAGCATCTACCAATCTGAAACGAGACAGCTCTTTGGGAGCTTGTAGTGTCCTTGAACGCTCTTAAACCACATAGTCAATGTAGGGAGCATTTTTAAGCAGATTTGTCATTTTATACACTCTTCAACTTATGTTTGTGTTTTTTCCCCTTGTTTAAATAGTTGACTATACTCATTATTATTAGTTGTGATTGATGCTTTTCTGCTCTACATTGATCTTTTTTAGATGTCTTGTACAAAATTATACCCTTATTTTTCTCTGCCTGTGATTGTTGATGAAAAGCTTTTTTTTTTAAATTGTTGGTCTATAAATAAAAGATATAACTTGTTGTGACACCAGGCCTGAACAGCCAAGTAAAAAGTACCTAAAGCCCGTTTGTACATATTTAAATGTGATGCCACACCATTATTTCAGTAACTGTCAGGTTTATTTTTGTATTTGTTTACATTTACCTTGCTGAGCATAATTGGCATCAAATATGGAACAGTTTCACTAGAAATCACACTGTTAACCTGATTTTATAGCTTGACAACCAAGTGTTGGCATGAAATAGGCTTAAAAGGAGTTATTACAAACCTCTTTGGAGAGAATTCAGATTTTACAGTGTTCTGTCTGCTGCCTTTTGTCGTGTCGGGATTTCCTAGGCTGTGGTGGATAATTGGGTATCGTCCTCAAGAGCAAACTGAGACGGTAATTACAGAGCCAAAGCAGACACTGCACTTATTGCTATGTTAAAAGCTAATGCGAGCCAGACCCGTTCCTGATGTCAAAGATGTATGGTATGTTTGTGACTTTGAATGAGGGCTTTGTTCTGATGCCCTCAAGGTAAAGAGGGCTGAACAATGTTCTAGTCACTTCAAAAGGCACCTTAATGTGGTGACAAATAGTTTGAGTGCATGAAAAAAATCAGGGCCACAGCCAAATGCTGTTTAATTGCTCATTCTTAAAAAATATCTGGAATCTTCATCCATTAAAAAGTATCCAGTGCAATAGCAAGAGTGTGCATCCTGTATATTTTACATACTTGTACTGAATGAGATAGTTGTAGACCTGAATGTTTGCTTTACATTGTCTCCACCAAAGCCGACCTTTCCGTCAGCTTCATCCCAGACACAAGCATTTAATAATTAACTCTGTAGTTTTTTGGAGTCAAACACAGGGCAAATCTGAATCTTTCATTGAGACTAGACGTGTTCATGTGCATACATCGATCTTGAGCTGTGCTAATAAAAAAAAAAAAAAAAAAAAAAAAAAGCAGGCGGAGTTGAATTTCAAAGCATTAGAACAGTACGAGGTCATTTTCTGAGCATGGTCTTTGCAAAATAAAAACATGTTTGCTGAAGCAGTTTGAACTCATTTGGAATCCAACCTACAGGGTCAGGGCTGAATCTAAGTTATTTTTGTTATCAACTAATCTGCTGAGTTTTCAGTTTGTTTTATCTTTTGATCAAGCAAGTAATTGCAAAGTCTAAAACATCAAAAAATTTCACTGATCTGAGTTTTTTTTTTTTCTGCTGCCCACCGCCACCACCATTATTCCATAGAAACTACTTTTTTTTTTGTCAGTTGGTTAATAACTAATAACTGTAGTGCCCACAAGTTCAAAGTAAACATTTTGGAGAGATGTTTTATTCTGAGGAACTCAATGTTCTAACTAACTTTGGTTCCAGGCACAGAGAAGCAGGACTAAACATCACCACCCTGCCTCCAGAACTTGGCTGATTGTCTGCTTTGTTCCATTTAAAGACAGCTTCATGCAAACTACCCGCTGAATACACTACCCCTTCCATATCAGGTGGGGAGCCCACATTCTAGCTGCAACCAAAACCCCCCCTCTCCTTGTGACTTTCACTTCACTAGAATACACATTCTGTGACTTCACACTGGGGCCACCATAAAACTGACTTGGTGTTTCTCTTCCCTCTTATGACAGCTGAAAATGTTAATGAGATTTAAATGTGAAACTATGTTAACCAAAAGTTGTGTGAAATGTCTAAACAGATGTTTAGAGATGTTTTAGTCAAGCTAATGATTTCTGGACATCAGCTCAGCCACTGCAAAGACGTCTTCCATAACTTTCCCTTGAAACAATGGAAATGTTATTTTAACGGGAAAATGCAAAATCTAGGATCCAAAGTGTGTAAACTGTTTCAGGAGGTTACAGTAAATATTTTTATTATGTGTAGTTTAAATCTGCCTAACCATATGCAATGTTAAATTGTGTCTAAAATAGTGCAAAACATGAGTAGGAAATTAAGCTTTTGGTTTCTCCATTCTATGATTGTGTGCTTGACAAATGTCCGCTTGTTCTCTTACCTTGAAAGTTAACTTTCCTTTACCTCCACAGAATGTCTACATATGCCTTATGTTCAGCCTATGTGCTGTTTAAATGTGAGTTATTCCACATTCCAGTCATATGAAGGTGTGTTTCAAATGTCAGCCATGGTGGAAGGTAGGGGCGCGAACCTTTCCACAGTGCACTTCTAAAAGAACCAATCAGGAACCTGTTACTGTGCCTCTTCTTGGTCTCAACACAATGAGAAAGAATCAGAAGAAGAAAGTCTGAGTCTCCCAAATTGTACGTTTTCTCCTTCTCTCGTGTTTTTGTGTTTTGTCTAAAATTCCTTTTTCTAAGTCTTATGCTAACCTCACCACAAGAAATCTTTTTCTTATTTAGCAATATTATAGAATTTTTTTTTGAATTTTTCCAATCTAACCCAGCAGGAAGCTGACTTGAAGCAAAGCACCACAAATTTCAAATAGTTTTGAGCCAAAGTTTATAGACTTCAGTAGCAAAGTCAAAAGCCAAGTTTTATTTAAGCCAAATCGTTTGTTGAGCTCCAAAGACACAATCAGAACGATCCTGTGATGATTAATTAACTGTGATGATTAAGTTAATCCAAAGATGGTTTTCCTCGAGACATCGTCAAATACCACAACAGCAGCATTACCCTGGTTAAGCTGCTGTCCTGGACACAACTCTGGCTGCAGACTGAAAGCCGACCCGTCATGAGAGAGAGGCAGATCCTACTCCAAAGATGAGCTTGCAGCCTCAAATGGCGTTTTGGAACTTCGGCCCTCCATATGCATCTACTCTGGCCCAAAAGGCTTCGGACCCCAGTGCTTCCCCTGCCCTGGCCACGTGAGCCCTGCTAAGAGATAAGTGACCGGCACCTGTGGCACATCTCCATGTCTCATGAAAGCCATAGTCTCAATTAGGTCTCTAATCTATAGAAACTGTGTTTTTCTCCCCAAATTCATGACTAAACCCCAGAATTTAGATCCAAAATCTAGCTTTCTTATAGACAATTCATCCTTCCACCATCGCAAACAATAGACCAGCAATTCTAATAGCCATCTGCTCATCCCACTTTTGTTACAGATGGACCGTTTCATTATATTTCAACTCTTTTTTTTTTTGTTATATAATGTAAATAAATTCATTTAGCTTTTAACTGGCTTTATTATGTCTTGTTTTCGCTTTTATTTACAGATACATGGTTCAGTGTCCTGAGAACTCTAAAATTACCAATGAGACTGAATTAATTGCTCTTGTTAGTGGTCTGCGGTCCCCTGGTAGTCCATGAAGGATTGCAGGTGGTCCCTCACTGTGCATTCATTAATGTGGTTTCACTGCGGAATCACTTTATTAAGCTAGGTAGTATGTTAGTGTAAGTCCATATCTATGTGTTGTTTATTGTTTGTGAATCAAATTTATTCAAAAATATGTAGAAAAGCCAAGGTGACTTTGAGAATTAAAATAGTGCCCATCTGGTCTATCCACCCCACCACAGTGGCCTCCAGGTTGCTCCTTAGTCACAGTCAGTTGAAAACCCCTGCATGATGTGGTTGAGCTATATAGTGAAGTAGTATCACCCTAGCATAGTGGGCATGGCACAGGTTTAAGGGTTATTATTATAACACAAGCCACCCAGCAGGCTTGTTGGTGAACTGCTGACAATGCACTCTTTCAGCTCAACACTCCCATCTGCTGGACACAAGGCTAATATAAAGTGAGCTCTCCAAATATTAATAGTGTGATGGTTCCAAACTCATTTATTTCTTAGGTATTATATTCTTTATTCTTGCCTTTTTTGGACAGTGGTCACTAAAGAGGAGACAGGATTGCTGACTGAACCTAAGCAAGGATCAGTGCCACTGCATGGTCAGTATCTTTATAAAACTGTTGTTAGGTTTAAGAGTAATGTGTAGTAATGTCACTCAGTG